ATATATATATATATATATAAAGATGTAAATATATAAAGATATAAATATATGTAAAGATATAAAGATATAAATATATGTAAAGATATAAAGATATAAAATATAAAGATATAAAGATATAAATATATATCTTTAATATTTTGTAGATGTAAATATAATTTATATATATTTTTAAATCTTTTTCTAATATTTATTTTTAAAAATATAATATTATTTTTAAAATTTAATATTTAAATTTTTTTTCAAATATATAAAGATATAAATGTATAAGAATATAAATAAATATATAAATATATCAATATATATATATATATATATATATATATATCAAAATATAAATATATAAATACATTAATATATAAATATATCATTATATAAATATATAAATATATATATATATATATATATAATATATATATATATATATATATATATATATATATCAATATATCAATATTATCCCCTCATATATTATTATACATTATTAGCGTAATTTTAGTTTAATTAAAAATTAGAATACAAATATATTATATTATATTAATATACCATTATGTTATAATATTTGTAATTTATTTTTATAGTGTATAAATTACAAAACTAATAATTTGTATACTATACTAATAATATAATATACTATATTATAATATTATTTGTATACAAAACTAATATCTTTATATTTTTATATATAAATATATAAATATGGAAAGATATAAATATATGTAAAAATATAAAGATATAAATATATAAAGATATAAATATATATAAAAATATAAAGATATAAATATATCAATATATAAATATATCAATTTATTAATATTTAAATATATATTAAAATATATAAATATATTTTTATTTATAGATTTTATATTTATATATTTATACTGGATATACATTTATTTGTATATAAATATAATTTATTTGTAAGTTATTATTAAAAAATCCTAGTAGCTCAATGGTTGGAGTTTCAACCTCCAACTCTAAGGTACTAGGTTCGGATCCCGATAATGACAATAAACCTAATAATAAGTTAACCTAATAAAAAATATAATATAATTAAAAGTTAGGGAAAATAAATATAAATAAAAACTTAAATAAGCAAAAATATAATATAAAAAGAGGTAGGGGAAATAAATAATTAATTTTGTTATTGATTTAGCGATCGATTTAAATCGGTCACTATTTTTTTAACTTTGTCACCGATTTAGCGACCGATTTAAATCGGTCGCTATTTTTTTAACTTTGTCACCGATTTAGCGACCAATTTGATATATTAATTTCGGTCGCTATTTTGCGACCGAAATGAAAATCGGTCGCTAACACATTAGCGACTAGGCTTTTTGCGATGACGCATTTTGGTCACTAACTGATTAGCGATCGATTTTTTGCCATTAGCGACCGATTTTTTCGGTCGCTAAAATGCTTTTTTCTTGTAGTGACAGTAGGGAGATTTACACAAATGAGTCATGAGCCAACCATATAAAAGAATATGATACCACCTTTAATACAAAACTTTAAGTCATTAGGTCATGAATCTTTCTCATTTATAAGTTACTCAACTTTCTCATTTCTATCTAATGTGATACTTTAAACTCACACGTGAATTTTTAACAGATATGAGTATGATTTTCATAGCTTAAATGACCATATAGTAAAATATGAGGGTTAAAGGTGAAAATTATACGATTGCTTAAGTTAAACAAAATCCATGCTTAAAGAAAATGAAATAAAACATATTAACACACAAGTTGTACAATCACTAAAAGAATCTCTACTAATTGTTTAATCAACTCTTTCATATGTCATTATTTAGTCTCACACTCTAGAAACATGTTCCTCGTTTAAGTGTGTTTAACCATGCTTAAACAATCTAAATTTTATTGTTAGGGCACCTACTATGTCTTAATCCTATCCAACTTTCAACTTGATAAGATCATTATGAATAGATAAAATAAAGATGAACACGAATATATAATTCCAAAAAAACAAGTTAATAATAAGTATAACAAAACAAAATATTCTTGTCCACATTAAATTACTACTTATTTTGTATTAAATGATAATTATAATTTTATTTTTTTAAAGTGTAATCTAGGATTTATTTTTTAATTAGAACTTATTTTGAACCTTGATTTGGGTCAACATGAAGAGCACAATTTTGGCTAAGGAGAGTAGATAAGTGAGATATAATTGTAATTGAAATCAAACCTAATATGAAGAAGTCTTTCGTAAAAAAGGAGTCACTTGTAAACTAAGCATATTGTGAACCAAAAATAAAACATAGCACCTCTTATATCACACAATCAAGACTGTTGTGGAACCAAAATGAAATTTAATTTTTGATCATCCAAGTAAAAATATGTTAAGTCAATATTTCAAATTTAAATTTAAGTTTCCCACTCTTTTATTTCCACATAAAATTTATTGTCATAATGTATGATGACATTTGGATATCACAAATTTTAGATACAATTTGTTCGTATAATGAATATATTAAAGTTTAACTAAATAAATATTATAATTAAGACAAAAAAAAACAATTTTTGGGTAACTGCGCACCCGTTTCTTATATTAAAACGTCTTCAATTAATATATACGTAAATTTGATTTTAGTTTTATGATATAACTGCTCTGGTCAATTACGAAATCTATTGTTAAAACATTATTTTTTTAATAATCAGTTTGACATAATAATTTATTACTTATTGCAAGCTTTTTTATTTTCTTCTTCTCTGTTGGTCTATCCAAAAGCCTATTAATTAATTACTTAAAATGATTTTTATTTTTATAAAACCTCCTATATATCCATACACACACCAATATATATATATATATATATATATATATATATATATATATATATTCAATTTTTATGACTTATCTAGAATGGTTAATTCAGTTTTTTAAATAATATACAAAAATCAGTTTAGTTCTAAAATTTTTAAAAATAAAATAAAATCCTTAACAATAATTTTTATCTTTCACAATATTTGTTTTATTATAAGTAAGTACGACATGTTATTATTAAATTGAAATTTAATTTATTTATATTATGATAAAATATAATTTAATTATATGGGTAAAATATGTTTTTTATATAATAATTATGAAAATATTTTTTTTATAATTAAAATATTTTATTTAATTTTCATACATTATTAATTATTATATTATATTTTTAATCATTACCGCTAAAACTATTTTAAATTTTATTTTACATATATCGTTAAATTATATGCATGTTTATATATGTGGATTTAATGTCAATGACATGTAGGAAAACAATTCATCAATATATTATTCAAAATTTACGAAGGAAAATTTGATGGACACGACGACTATGATGATACACATTTATGACTAATCATATAAACTTACAATTAAACTCATACAAACTAGTGGTCACATCACTTAATGGTCTAGATGACATTGAAATAACACCTTTTTTAACGGTATTGATTAAAACTTATAAAATAATAAATATTTTATGAAAACTAAACAAAAAAATTGAAATATTTTACATAATTGTTAGTTATTGTGTGAAAAATTTATTGTAAATATATATATATATATATATATATATATATATATAGAGAGAGAGAGAGAGAGAGAGAGAGAGATAAAAACATATTTGAGAGAAATAAAGTATATGAAAGATTAAAATAATTTTTAGATTTATTTAGTTTTAATATATAAATAATATACTTAAAAAAACCATTCAACGTTTAAGTAAAATTTAAAATTTTATGAATATATATAGAATTTTATATTAATATTATTTTGTATAGTGTATTATTATATTAAAAAACTAAAATTATAATATTTTGTTAAAATCGGTTTAATTGTGATTAAATTTTTAATTAAAACATTAAACTCATTCACCATTTAAGTGACGGACAACATTGGTAACATCAAACCTACGATAATATTTTTTTAAAGCGGGTAACTTGTAGACATATGCAGTTCCACGTCAAATTATTTTTCTTTAAGAAACATTTTAATACCAATTGATTGGATAGTAGATTGACGAATTCGGCAAGCCAGTGAAAGTCAAAGAAGCTTTCCCAGTCAAATAACTTTTTACTTTTAAGGTGGAGGTCACAGAATTCATTATACCAGAAAAAGTCACAGTATTCATCGATATAATTAACCCGAAACTATAAGTTTGAGTTTTATTCATCTTCACGGCAAGGTAAATATAAATATTCTGCAAGTATATATGGCATATATACCATATTTCCTTGTTCCTAATTAAATTATTAGTATAAAAGAAAGAATTCATATTATATATATATATATATATATATATATATATATATATATAAACTTAAGTATTTATACTAAATAATACTTATTTTTTAGTTCATAAATATTTTGTTTTTCTCCAAATTACATTTTAAAATATATTTTTTAAGAATATATATATATATATATATATCTATATTTTATATAAATAATAAAAACTAAAATATTTTAAATATATATTTTAATAAGATATATAATATATTATGCATAATAAATTTATATTAAAAATATATAAATTATTATATGATAATTTATAATATATTATGTTTTATATATTTTAAAATATATAGATTAGTGTGAAGTGATTAATAGAGTCCTTGGTAGAAGTGAAATAAATAAAGAAACCGTGGGAGAAATAAAAGCTGTGTGAAGTAATTGTCAAGACTTACAGTTAGAATCATTGCTTGAATTGATTAGCAGTGATGGGTGTTGATTTTCAAAGTAGGAATATTTTTGGTACACTCAATTGAAGTTGACACATGACGTGTGCACGCATAGTTGTCTGTGAATACTATTAGCTTGACAATGGACTTGTTTGTCTCTCTTGACCACATTGAGAGGAATAACGTAAGTACATTAGTACGTGTTTGGGTGTGTGAGTGTATGAATAGAGAGAGGGAGAGGTGTTGAAGTTGAAGTTGAAGATGAACATGGAAATCACATAACAGCGAGCGAAAGATACAAGTGGTGGACCCTTTTTCTTAGGTCCACGAGGACATAAAGAATTTGTTGTGGGGGCTTAAATAGGGATAGGACCCCCCAACACCCTCCACCACATGTTTGTCCTTTCTAATAACCTCACCCTGCCATTTTTCACCTGCTCTTTGCTTCTTTTCCACGTCTTGGCATGGTGCAGACAGACCAAGATTGATGGATTCTGAAATTATAACTATAGCATTCATTCAGAGGAACAACAAGTTCAGAAAGCCATTCTCACTTTTCTCTGACCCCCTACACTGCTTATATCACTATAACTAGATCAATTCCTAATTCAATATTCATTCTTATTTAATAATTTCCAGTTTTCTAAAATTTCTTGTTCTTTTGCCAATTAATTATTAATATATGTATAGGAATTAAAAGGGACTTGACGAATATAAGGAAGATATTCTGAGGGATTAGATTTGGTTCAGCAAAAATTCCAAGAAAGAAAAAGTCGAGGATTTTGGTGATCTCGAGGAGATTGATGAATTGGAGACTAATTAAGAAGAGGACGTGACTCTCACTTGTAGATAGGTAAGAAGAGGAAGAGGGTCTGTGTATGTATGTATGTCAGGCCCTCCCTCCTGCTTCTGGCCTCATACTCTATGAGGTGAGGGAATTGGGATGGATGTTGTGATTTATCTGGATTCTTATGAGTGTAACAGTGTCCGTGCTATGTGCTGTGTGCTGCCAGAAGGAGAAAAGTGACTGACAAAAGTGAACCCAGAAACACAACACCATTTGGCTCTGTACCAACTCAGATTATTGCAAGCATAACACCTGATATTCAATGAATCAATGTTCATAAATAACTCTCAAACAGTCATAAATAATAGAAGAAACTAAGGATATGCCATATCTAATTTCATCACTTAATCCTCTTTTCCTCTTTAAACCTTTGTGTACATTAATAAAGTTTATTTTTTTCACTAGACACAACATGTTCCAACTCGATAGGATTGTTGTAAGGAATAACTTCTTTTCAACGTTTAATATAATTACATGCCCCTATTAAAGTTTTATATTAATGATTTTATAATGAGGACAACGAAGATCAAATTTAGCTCTACATCATTAAGCTTACCTAATGGATTCTCTCACTAGAATACATTTCTTAAATGTTAAGGGTGAGGGAGTTTGTTTGAAAGAATTAATGAAGATGGACGCAAAAATAAATAAAGAAATAAATTTATGTTTAATAGAGTAGTGTGAGGAAGAAATAATTTTTAAAAAATTGTGGAATTAACTACTATTTTTCACCTATTCATACCCATCTCTCCATATCTCTTAATCTTTTCTCTATTTCTTTTCAACTAAATAACTCTACTTTCCCTTCTATCCATCTATTTTCACTTTATGCATATTTCAATTTTACATGTTTCACAAGCAAACACACTTAAATACTTCGTGTTTAACGGTTTAACTTGTATAGATTCATAACTATGTATAGAATTAAAATGACGGCTTGCTTTTCTTTACTTTTGAAAGATGAAAGGATTCACGGTTACTTTCTTCAGGAACCATGAAGAGTAGTAAAAGCGGCTCAAGGTGTGTGCGAGTTCAAACACTCCTTTTTCTTTTTTTTCCTCTTATTTTTAACATTTTAGGATAAATATGATCCTCGGAAAAATAAAGAAAACCCTAACCCTATTATTTTCGATGATTTCCAAAGGCTTTGCTGCAACCAACGTGTAGGATTCTGATCTCGCCAGGATCGGTTCAGAATTTTACCTGTCATATTGCGAACTAACCTTTGCCTAGAAATAAACTTTTCAGTTTAAAAAATATAAATTAAGAGTAATTCAATTCTATTGGTTTGATTGACTTAATAGAACATTTTATTAAAATTTACAGTAACTCGAGACAAAAAATAAAATAAAAGGTTTATAATTTGAATGCATGTAAGTTGTTGTCAATGTCGATGTAGGTATGAGAGAGAGGGAGATGGGTGTGACTGTTTCAGTTTCACTGCATTGTCTTGGGGAGAGTGTTGGTGTGGTTGATAGAAACAGTTTCGAAGTGGTAGCTAGGGTACTAATTGGAAGAGAGACAAAAGAAAAATGAGAAAGAAATAAAAGCTGAAAACCCTAAGCATGAACTAGTATATATATATATATATATATATATATATATATATATATATATATATATATATATATATATATATATATATATATATATATATATATATATATATATATATATATATATATATATATATATATATCTACTTTTTTTGTATTGGATCCAATGAGGACAGCGACTGTGGCTCACTATTTCACTCATTTTTTTATTCAAGAAAAACGAGAGGGTGTTGCTGAGCCTCACTCTCACGGGAATTGAGACTATAGAGACCAAGTCTCTTTAGAACCAAGAGATTCATCATCTTACCTTTTCCCCGGTACATGATGAAAACTACAATTCGAAACAAGTTTGAATAGATTGCATCACAGACACAGAATCAGAAAAAACACTGCTCGTTTTCCTGTTAGTTGAGTTCATCAAACAAAAACCACCAAATAATAACCACTGTGCTTTCCAAAGAACCTATAGAGACTATATATATATATATATATATATATATATATATATATATATATATATATATATATATATATATATATATATATATATATATATATATATATATATATATATATACATGTTTCACTAACAAGTTGTTCGGATTACCACCAAGACAGACTTTTACACGAGCTTTTACAACACTTGAGATTGAGACTTGAGAGAGTTCCTGTATGTATATATATGCTTTGAACTCAAGCGTAATATATTGTTCTGTTGCTGTGATTGTGACATGTTGCCAATAATATTAACTCAACTTCTCCACTGTCACTGACACTATAGTTCTGTGCCTTTATTTTAGTGAAATTCTATTGATCAGGTTAATTGAGGTAAAGCAAAATAAGTTTGCTGCTGGAAAGTTTTAACAGTTGGTGAAGTAAAATTAACTCAATGGATGGTTTACCAACTATGGTAATTGTAATCAGTAAAGAAAATTAAACAATATTTAAATCATATTGTGAACGAGGCATAAAATGGGGTAAACAAGTTATTGAAAAGGGAGTTAAAATAAGAAGGAGAAAGTAAAAGGGTGGTCCATGAAGAAGAGAGGAAATTAAAGTGGAAAACAAAGGCAGGGAATATATAGGCTAAGTAGGACAATAAGCGTCTAAGCCGTAGAGTTAGGCTTTAGAATCATGTAATATTATCGCTCATTTATTCTTAATCATAAACAATGACAGAGAATGTCAACTCGGCATGCTCACGGCACATGCCTATAGAGCTGCACTGAATACGCAATAAGAGTAGGTCTAGTAGTAGTCATACATTAGTACTATTCATGCTCATCTACCACCGACTTATTTGGGACTAAAGATTTTGAAAAGACTACCTAAGTTTTTGGTAACTTAGGTCTTAATAAACAACACATGTTCATAATCATCACCTGGCAAACAAAAACAAAAGCCCATCAATTTAATTTAAAAGAGAAATTAAACAGTAGATCATCATCAGTCACCTAGCCAGAAGTGTCCAAGCGAGGCTACATAGCCAGAGACCATGACTAGATAATATAAATATTGCAGGGCCACGACCTCAAGAGGCATAAACCCTAGATGTGCAATATTATTCTTGAAACACAATTCACAAGTTACCTCCTCCTTCTCCTCCTCCATCATTGATATCCTCGGGAGGGGTATCAGTCCATGGAAGAGAATAAGGGAAAGAGTTGTAAGTGCTGGTAGGGGAGGGCCTGTAAAACCCACTTGCTTCATTTCCAAACCTTGCAGTGAAAGACCTTTGTGGCATTTGTTGAATTGTTGTTGCTGTCATTGCTGGTGGCACGGAAAGAGAGGGCGGAGGCATGTCATTGCAGGCATAGCGAAGGAGATCAGCATTGGCAGAATCAAGCTCCTTTTGGAGCCTTTGAACTTGTCTTTGCAGGAAAGAGATGGCTCCTACGCAGCCATAAACGGGGTCTCTCACACGTGCCTCAGCTTCATAGGCAAGGGAGTTCACTGCATCTTCCCTCTGGTGAGGGAGAAGATCATTCAGGAGCTTCGTCACATTGCTAGCACCAAAGATCTTGTGCACGTTGGCGAACTTTTGAGGCTCTTCTGGTGGGAAGTAAGGTGCAAAGATGCACCCTGAAAGGCATTTCCTCCTCAAGAATTTGCAGGCAGCACAAGGAGAGTTGTAGGAGCTGGATGATGCCATTTCTTTCAATTTCCCTAAAAGATAAAAAGATTGACATAAAATGAGACCAATTAACAAAACTTTCCCTTCTCAACTATCAGAATTATTTTTTCTTTTTTTTTTCTTATTTGAAAGACGAAAAGTTTAGATCAGAAGAAAGCTCTCCCTTATACAAGGTAGAGGACCACCAACATCAATGAAAATTTATGGTGAGATTTCATATTTTCTTATTACATGCTAGTGAGTTAACCTGGAATGGAACTCAAGCTATAATTTTATACTGGACAGAAGCAGAAGACTGACCAAATAGTCTATGTGGTAACATCTTTACTTCTAAAAATTGAATGGTGAATAAACAAAGAAAAAGAAAATTAGATCTGACTAGTTACACTTTTTTTTTCTTTCTTGTCTAGTTCATGTTTGAGTTTTTTCTTTGATCGATGGAATAAGCAATATGTATCCATACAATTATTATTGAATATTAAAAGCAGAATATATATATATATATATATATATATATATATATATATATATATATATATATATATATATATATGCCAAAAATATTTTGGGTAACATGAATTAGTCGGATATTATAACCCTTCATAATCCTTTCTTCCTGAAATCTCTTAAGACCCTTCCCCATTACAATCATACGTACATGAGACTTTGCTAACTGGTATAAATTTAAGGATTAGTTGTCACTTTCTTAAATTATATTATATTATAGTATGACCATCTTTTATCCTTTCTTTTTCTTTAACAAACTTTCTTATTTCTTTTTTTAATATATATTTTCCTTCTTTCCGTTCTGCCTTCTTTTTTCCATTTCATGAGGGGAAAAAATTAATGAAGAGTTCTTAATTTTAATCTTGAAACTCCCTTCATACTGTTTTCTGTTTTTTTTTTCCCTTTAGTTTCTGGGTAAGTTCTATCTTCTTCCAAGTTTATTCATCAGAAACTTGCACACACTAACATAGACAAAAAAAACTTTATATAAATATCTTTCTTCTTGTGGAATTGAGCTGCATGATAAAGTAAAAGCTTATGATTAAGTCAGTTGAATTAACCAGGGATCTGGCTGCAGCAACGAGGCATGATTGTATTCATGACTGCATAAAAAAAGCATATATAAAATGGAAAAAGCCCTAAACAGTGACTTCTCAAAAGGATCCATTTTGTCTAGCTATAGCACCCGGTACTTTACTTAAAAGAACATCAAACAGAGAAAAGAACTATATACGCATAGAGAGAAGATCCAGAGAGGGAAAGCTACAAGATGAACATGATTTTACCTGTTTGTGATGTAGGTTTCTTTGATCAGAAGAACTAAAAGGGAAGTACCTTTTTTTTTTCCTTGTGGGAGGGCCTTTAGAAGCTGCTCTTTTACCCTCACAAGACAAAAGAGCCTTAGCCAATGAAAGATATAAGTCTCAGATTTGTCACAGGAAGAGCACCCTTAAAGAGGAAACCCTAACTGCTGCAACAGAGACACAAAGTGAGAGAGATAGAGAGATAGGGGTGTGGAAACTGATAATTAAGTGGCAAAAGCTTATGAGGGAGAGAAGGCAAACAGCATTGAGTGGATGGAGAAGGAATGGATGCAAAAGACAAAGGTAATAAATGGAGGTACACTATAAAAGAATGACTATGACCTTGCATCTAATAATAATATGGGGAATGTGGGGATGTCTCCCATTCTCATTCCCTTTATAATTAATCCATGCACTACAACTAAATTCAGAACACCATTTCTTTTCATTTTATTTTTAAGAGAAGAGAATCAACCATGTGGTTAAGAAAAATAAAAAAAAATACTATAGAGTGTAATAAATAATATATCTCATAAATTTTGGGGAAAATATGAATATAGAAATTCAAGCACGTTCTCTTCTAACAATTTTTCATTTCTTTTAAGGTAACAATATTTTTTACACTTGCTAAAAATTAAACACATTAATATATAAATGTTTATAATATTTGTCTACAAAATCTTCATAATATAAATAAAATAATAATATATATTTTTAAGATATTAGGATGCCTATCTAAGTTGTATATAACACTTTTTTATAAAGTAATCAAATAGCTAATAGGAAAATTAACATAACCATAAACATTACCTTTTAAAATTTTTTACTAATAAACATTAGTATTTTTTTTCTTTGATCCGTAAACATTAATATCTAATTAGGAAATGATATATCCTCCTACAAAAGCCTTTTATTAATCCAACAATACTTTATAAAAAAAAGAGTAAATGCATCAAATATTTCAGACACATAAAATGTATTCAATTATCGCTTGATTTATTAAGATGATTAAGAGAAAGATGTTTTACAGTGAATTAAAATCAAGCTATTTATATAGTGTGTGTGTGTGTATAAACCCATCGTTTTTATTAATTTCATTTTAAAATATATTTAACACGTTAACTAAATATAATTTTTAATTTGTCTTTAAACACAACGGCACTAAGCAGATTAGCTATTAAATAGATAAAGGGTTTTATAAGAGTCCTAGCAACTAATATGGGTCTTACAAAATACTTTAGAAATAAAAAATTAATTCGTGTAAGATTTTTATTTTGTGCAACTATAAATATACACTGAGGAGAAAAATGTTTCAATTTAGAAAATTAAAAATGTCCTTTAATACTTACTTTTGTGCCACGGATACATATATATTAAAAAAATTCATTAACCAAAATACAACGTTTGACATGCCAAAACTAACTTATTTATCATTTAAACCTTTTAGTTTTCTAGATCCTTGATAATGGTTATTAAACGCTAACTGATATTGTCTATTGAAAAGTGAAAAGCATAACATTAAAAGAACCATTAAAACATAAAATACTTAGAATTTTGTCAAATTTATAATTAAGCAAAGTGGTGTGAAATTTATCATATAGTTTACAAGGCAAAGTGGTATGAACAATAAGATCACTTAGTTATTGCTATCATGTCAAATTAAAAAACTTAGTTATTAATTCATGGTAACTTATATAATATTAAGCACCTAGGAGAGGCTCATGGTTTTGATTTACTTTATCTTTGAAATAACCTAAAAATTATGTATGTACGGTCATGTAGCCTACGAGGCAGGGTCAGTTGGACTTTTATGCATGAATTGATGGTTATCCATCTTAAACTTTAAACAATGATGTTGCAGTGCTTAAGTATTCATTGGCGTCGTTATGAAACTCTTTAATAACGTTAACACACTTCTGGTTCACTGAGGATATTATGTTAACATATGCCATGAACACTACACCAAAGACTATAATCCTAATTATCCCACTGTGCTAGGAACTATCATTTTTACATTATTAATACTTCACGATGAATAGCAAGAAAACAAGTTAAAAACATTTACACATGGTGAAGAGAATGTACGTATTTATAGCCGATATTTAGTATTGAAATTGTCATGAAACATATCTTATGTTGATGGTCGAGACTTAGGAGAACATGACACCCAAGAAAATAGGTGCTGTTGTCCGTTTAAGGTATTATAATCTGCAGGCACTCTAGTGAAGCCAGAAACTCCCTACATATTAGAGGGACGAATCATTTCATACGTGTTTTCAGTCAATAACTTTTGCACTGTTGGTAAATAATAATGCTATGTCACACCATATTCATGTCATTCACAATATTTCTTTCAGCCTTCAATTATTTTATCTGATTCCTGACATTCTTTGTTAACCCTGGAAAAAAAAAAGAGTATTAACTTTTCTCTCATTTAATTATTCTGTGTTGGAGAGAATTTGTTCTGAACATCAAATTAATGTTAATTGCTGTGGCAACGAGCATCTGCTTTCAATTTTGTCACCTCAGCCAGATGCAGCATTTAAAGTTTATATATATATATATATATATATATATATATATATATATATATATATATATATAATTTTGTTCCATTATCTTACTCATAATTATAATTGTTACTTAACATTTTAATTATAAGTGTTCTATTAATACTTAAATAATTTTTAAAATTGTTTATATTCAGTTTAATAATGTTACTGGCTAAAATTTATTGAAAACTATAAGTTTTTTATACAATAAAAAATAAAATACATCTTGTCATGTCATTTTCATTCCACCCCAATTTAATAAATAATGTTACCAAACATCTTTATAAAAATTAGGTCAAGAGTGTTGTAAGATATATAAAAGGTTATTGTTTTAGCTTTCAATTAATTTATCATTATCATACCAGACACAACCTATGTCTACATTTAACATACAATATCTAGTTTGGACAAGGTTTCAGCCATGATAGATAGCTTAAGCAAAGACCTTTATAAATTTGTTTTGCTTGAAGAGTAATAGATAATAAATAACATAGCTTTACCAAATAGGATATCATTGGACAGAAGAACTATTTGATATACTAGAAGTGACAACATGATAGTGACCTCTATATTTACATTAGCTGATAGCAATGGCAGAGTTCCCCCACCTACCTACATACATCACCCATCACCTGACTGCATATAAGTATGCATTGCTTTATATATGTTATTAATGGCCACATTTTATTTTTATCTGATTTTCTTGAAAGCTACATTATAATAGTTGATCTCATAAATGAAATCTAAAGATATGGAAAAATAGCTTGATTGCATACTTCGTGATGCAATGATTAGTTAAAGATAATCCCAGCCGCATAGATCAGAAAAGCAAAAGGGCTTATTTTGTTTTCTTTAAACTTATTTGCTTACTAAAAGTGGAAATATTGTTGCTTTCTGATCACAGTCTTAATCAAGCAACGATGGAGATTTTTTTTTATTTAACAATAAAATAAATGTTTTATGATAGATAGGGTTTCGTGTGGCGTCATATATGCCCTTCCATTTGTCAAAGGCAAATGATATGCCCTTCCAATAGGGAACTCAAAAGATTCCCCTAAAGTGGCTAAATGTTTGATTAATTCAGACGGTGAAACCACAGGAAATTTTGGTGATCGAGTGCTAACTTGAAATAATGTTAATTTTTTCTTTTTAATTGCAAGGATGTTAACTAGGATCATACCACTACGAACTCTAGAATAAAACAAATCAACTATAATTTCTTTTTTTCCTTCTTTCAACTCACTCTTTTCCTTTTCATAATATCTCTCCACATTAAAACAACCGTACATTATTAGTTTGAATGAAACTATATTTCTTTTAGCCTATGGTTCGACATATTTACTTGTAATGCCGACTGATGTTGGATTATTATAATGGATTAAATAAGCTTGGTTCTTAAGAAATGTAAAATAAAAAAAAAAAAAAAATTGAGGTGAGAAGTAAGGAGAAATGTTCCGCAGAAGAGTGAAAAACTAAGAAAATCATGTGATAAAAACTAAGAAAACCTTAAATATAAATCCTAAACTTAAACATAATAAATTTTACATTCAAAGTAATTTTATTTATAAAATAATCTCTCAAATACCATTTTTATTTTTTATCAACAACCTATTCATCACCAAATTTAATTATTTATATTTTTTTATTTCACAATTGTTATAATATTATATAATTACTTTTATACAAATCATATGTAAATAAGTTATATATTAATTATCTTTTTTAAATACTTTTAATTAAATATTTAAAATAATATAAATTTTATTTGTTAAATATTATTTTATTTTTAAAATTTGTCTTTTAATTGTCTCCATTATTTTTTTCATAAAATTATCATGCTTTAAATTATTTAATAATAATAATAATATTATTATTATAACAATAAATATATAAATAATAATTATTATATTAATAGTAATACAAATAATTATTTTAATAATAAAAGTTATTACTAAGAATAATTATTATTATAATAATAATTTTAATAATAATATTTTTCATATTACTAATTAACATAAAAGTAGTTCAAATATTTATAATATTTTAAATTTTAATAATAATGATAATAACTTTTATCAATTTAAATTTTTTTCTATGAAATTTATTATTTATATCAATCAAATCATCGTAATTTTATTTTTTATCTTTTTATCTTTTTTTTTCTTAACAAATTTATCATTTTTCACTTCCTCGAACTCATCGTCATCCAAACACTACCTTAAATAAAGCTTTAAATTTGAGTGTTGTTTGTGAAAATAATACATACTTAAAACATAGATTTTGTTTTGTCTGAAATTTATATGTTAATATTTAACACTAATAATTTGGTATTAAATAAGTTTAAATTTACAATTTTATGTATTTTTTAAATTTTTGAATTTTTTTAAGTTTTGAATTATGTATTATATATATATATATATATATATATATATATATATATATATATATATATATATACACACACCAGTGCATATAAAGAAGAAGCGAAAGAAAGAGAGAAGAAAATAAAGAAAATAAAGAAAATTGTAAGAAGATAAAGAAAATATTAAAATTAGGATTAAGATATAAAATATTACAATGGTTTGCTGGGTATAAGGGATGTTGGGTTGTTAGCTATGAAGGAGTTGGTTAAGAAAGGTAAAAGTTTATGGCTCAGAATAGTTGTGTCGACTACTTCTTTAACTGACTCTTTTATAGACAAGAATCTTCGCTATTCTTAATTCTAATATTACAGCTGGTGCACTTAATCAGTGGCCGACAAAGAAATTTATAATTGACAAGTCTTTATTTTCGGCGGCCGATACAAACGACAAAATAAAATTAATTACAACTAACACACCTTACTTTCGGTGGCCGACACAAACAAAAAATCTAAAATAATTACAAGAGACATGTTTTCTTGTGGGACCCATACATCTTTTGGGTGAATAACTAGATAAGTCCAACTTCTTACTTCGATGTCATTTTCAAAATTCATTTTATGATAATTCTTCTAATTTCATCATGATTTGATTAATCTTTTTTTTTGTAGATATTCTTTTGATTTCTTCTGTAGTGATTGCTAGAATTGAGTGAAGTCAAATTCTTCTTCTTCTTCTTCATAAGGATCTTGAGCATCTTGGAGATTAATAATGACTTCACTTTCTTCTTCTTTATCATTTGAGCCCAAGGAAGATAATACTTCGAGCATCTTCTGTTTAAGTTGGGCTTTTTCTTCCTTAGAAGACGACCTTTTGGATAAATCAATTATGGCTTTTCCCTTTTCTTTGGTTGAAGGAATTATTTTTCGTATTGGGGTGGATTGGGCCATAAGGCCCATTTTCATCCATGTTGAGAATTTTTCTTCGACGAATTAGGTTTCAAATTTTTTCCACCAAAAGACCTTGGTCTTCAGTAGAGGGTTTTTAGAAAAGTGTCTTCCTTGTGTTGGTGGACCTCTAGGAAATGGGCCAGTAACCAACTTATTTCATAGAGGAGCAAAATTTTATAATTCTGATGAGGGGGGTAATTCAAAGTGAGGCCTTTGTATTTTTGATAGATTTTCATGATTGGGTCGGGTATAATGGATTGGATTGGTCCTATGTGATTGAACCATTCGACAAACAGTTGGGTATTGGTAAAAGGTAATTCTTTTTTAAAGCAGATATACCAAGAGTGTCTAGGGTTAGTATCCAAAAGGATCTTACTCCAAGCTTCTTGATAATCAAAGTAATTGTATGAAGGAGGGTCAACGGGCCTCGAAAAGCTCTTATTTATGAAAGCATGTTGATTCCAGTCTTGATAGGATAATATTATGAGTATTCTTAACTTAGAATAACTGGTAATTGAAGGGTCTTTTTCATTGGGAATGAAGGTTATTTCTGTGGATTCTGTGTCTATTAAAATGAATTGGTATAACTTTTTAGTTTTCTTTAGATTTTCTTATTTAGGAATCCAGCTCCATCCTGGAGGAGCTAGTTTTTTTTATTATATTCTGGGGGTCTTCAGGATTCCATTCTTCTTCTAGGATGACTAGTTTCTGACATCCGTCTTTTATATGAAATTCTTTTTTTGAGATATTTTCTTGGGTAGGGTTTTTAGGGGTTTGTGGGGTTAATACCGTGAATCTATTTGGTTGGGTGGTTATTGAGGTGGGAAGTTTTCGGGTAGCTATTGTTTTCGAATAAGACGGGACAAAGTCATCTAGAGAAAGTCCAGATGGCTTTGGGCTTTTCAGGGTTTTAGACTGCACAACCGAGGTTGGGCTTTTTGATGGGGTTGTCATGGTTGTGACCCTGCGAAAAGTCTCGTGTTAAAAAGTCTAGTATCGAATTCTCTTTTCTTTTAATAAATTCTATGTCAAAATCAAAACAAGATAATAAACTTTTCATCTTGAAAATATTTGTTTAGAAATTATATTTTTTACATCCTTTTCCAAAACTTCCTTTGCAGATTTACAATCAATTCTTAATAAGAATTTTTTGTTTATTAAATCATGTTGAAATTTTTGTATATTTAAAACTATACTTAAAACTTCCTTTTTAATGGTGCTGTAATTCTTTTGAGTCTCATTCCATATTCTTGAGTAGTATTTGACTATTTGTTTTGGGTTATTTTTTAATTTTTGTTTTAGTATGCCTCCGTATCCTAAATCAGAAGCGTATGTTTCTACTATTATCTTAGCCCCTGGATGTGGTATTCCTAGGCATGGTAAAGTCTTAACTAACCCTTTAACCTCTATTACTATTTTGGTCATATCTGGGGTCCATGGTTTGGGGTTTTTCTAAGTCTATTAAAAAGGGGTTTACACAATGTTCTTATGTTGGGTATAAAGTCTTATACATAATTTAGGCACCCTAAAAATCTTTGTAATTGGAGTTTATCTTTTATTTTGTTAGGGAATTTTTCAGAGAATTCAATACTTCTTTTGATGGGGGTTATAGTTCCATGATTTATTTCATGTGCTAAAAATCTTATTTGTGTTTGGGCTAGTTTTATTTTCTTTTGCGATATTATCATTCCATTTGCTTTTATAAGATTTTTTAAATATTCTTAAATGTTTTTTATGTTGTTCTATTGATTTAGAGAATATTAATACATCATCAATATAGACGATGACGAATTTAGAATAGGGGTTTAATATGTCGTTTATTATTTTTTGAAATTCAGTGGGCGCATTTTTCAATCCTATAAGCATTACGTTCCACTCATATTATCTGAATGGTACTATGAAGACAATTTTGTATTTATCTTGTTCTTTTAACTTGATTTCATAATATCTCGCTTTTCATATCAAATTTAGAAATTATGGTGGCATTATAAATTCTACTTATTAGTTCAGTTTTATTAGGCGGGGATACCTGATCCATTTTAAAATCTTATTTAAGGGTTTATAATTTATTATCATTCTTGGTTCTCTTGTTTCTATTTCAGAGGCATTCTGTACATAAAATGCAGCACAACTCCAGGGGGATTTGCTAGGTCTTATAAACTTTT